AACAGTAACTGCACTTCCAAAATTGTCCAAAACACTAGCTAATTCACGGGATTTTCTCCAAAAATCACACAGTAGTCAATTAACACTCAATCATATAAATCCCACTTAATTTAAGCTAATTTCCACTTAAATTAAACAAAAACCCACTTAAGCTACCAACTCCCAGGATAGAAAAATGGAGAAAATGGCTCGGCAAAAACCACACTCACACCCGGGATTTCTCACACAAAACATCACAGCAGCTAATTCAAGCTAAATTCTACATAATCAAGCTTAAATCACATTTAAAATACTACCGGAATTCCTCCCCATTTCCGGCACAATTCGGACACACACAAAGCAGCAATTAAAGGGCTAATTTAGGGCTTAAAGAAGTGGCCATCATACCAGAATTTTCCAGCAAGAACCGGAGCTAGCAGGGGAAGAAGAAGCCGGCGGCAAGCTGCAGGAAACTCACGGACTACCCAAAAAAATTGAGGGAAATAAACAGAAATTAGCATAACCCAACCTAAATCAAGGTTAAAGAGATGATTTCTTGACTGTGGCTTACACGAAAAATGCCCAGAAATTCAAACCCACAGCAGGCGGCGGGCATCGGAGAAGAGCAGAGCAGAACCGGGATTTTCTGGGTTGAGAGGGAAGATTCTAAGCCCCAAATCTTGTGATTTAACAAGAAAGGAAGAGGAAAATTCAAGCCTTTTTGCCGAATTTCTCAAGAGGAGTGCGTCAGTGGCTAGGGGGGGGGCTTGTCGGGTGCAGGGGAGAAGAAAGAAGAGCAGATGCGCGGATAAGGAAGAAGAAAAAGAAAAAGAAAGAACAACTCAGCCATCCTTATCCTAATTTCCTTTCTTTTAGGTCCCCAAACTTTTGAAAATTGTTGCTATTACATTCATTAATGGTATTTCCTCACAATTAGGTCCCTAACTTACTTTAATGCTCTAAAAATTTTGGGGTATTACAATATCATATGTGTGATCGATGAAGGTACTAAAAAAAGGTTATTGAGAAAGGTGATGGAGAAGAAGAGGCCAATCAATGGTGGAGGAGAAAAGACCAAAAGGGGTCCTAATCGATCTTTGATTCAATGATGGGACACGAGGGAAGGAGTAGAAAAGAAGAAGAAGTTAAGGACACATTTGTCTTTTTAGTTTTCAGAACTATTCCTTTTACTAATTTGTTCAAGTAGGTCCCTAATGTTGATATATATATCTTTGTTTTCCCCAAATCAATGATAATTTTCAAATTTACTTTCTGAAATTTAAAGATGTTTTGATACATATTCAAAAGTTTAGGGCCTAAACTAGTGTTGAAATTAAGGGCGTCAGATAAAAAAACAAATATAAACAAATAAAAACTAAAACAAAGTGGTTAGCAATGGGTAGAATTATTATTTTGAGGAAAGCAATGGATAGAGTTGAAAGTTGGAAATGAGATTGGCTGGCAAGTACCTATGCTTTGCCCTTCAACTTTTTGACTTTAAGGGTTTTTGCTCTCCAATTTGTAAGTCAGGGTTACCCTTTAACTTACTGAATCGGGTTCTTGCCCTTTGACCAAACATTTCATGGTCCTAATCGTTATGTTCAATTTTCATCTTTTGTTGAGTTAACACTTTAGTCACTAAACTTGAGTTTGTTTCAAAACTAATTTTTATTTTATCTTGCTAAGATTTTTAATTCTTCCAAAGCTATTGCTCTTCTCACTTCAAGAGTATAACTATCCCATAATAATTTATCAGTTCTATAAAGGATCATCCTTTCTAATTCTATAATTTTTGAGATTATACCAATTTGTTGTTCACAAAATTTGACTTTTCTTCTTAAATACATTCTTAACATCATTGTATTTTAATTCTTTTATGGCTCTAATACGAGATTTCTAATGGGTTTTCGAAACCTAACTCAAACTACTATTGACTAATAAGTAGCTGGTATATTAAGCTTGTTGACGACCACTTAAAAATGGAATTAAGTGTGAAAATATAAAAAGAGAAGGAGAGTCGCCACTCGTCCAAATTATAAGGTGGGACAAGTCACCTAAAACAAGTCTGCGCAGAGATCAGGGTTTGGGGGTTCGATTAAGAGTGAGAAAGGGCATACGCGCACCTCACAATCCTCCGTTTAAACACGGTTGCATACTTTAAAATTGGGGTTTTGATTCAATTGATTCATCATGTTTATGTTTGAGTCTTAATAAGCAAACTTGAAAGAAGGGTAAACCAAATTGAAACATTTTTTTTTTTAAATTTTTGGGCTAAAATGGACAAAATCAAAGACATGCATGCATCATAAGCACAAATAACATTAAAGGAACTAATTTGATTAAATTCGAAAACATAAAGGACTGATTTAAAAAGATTTGAAACTTTGGGACTGAATTGCTTAATCATAAAACTTGTGGGTGGAATTGAGATAAAATAAAAGAAAACTTTGACTTTGACCAAGATTGAAGTTAATTGAAAATTAAAATTAATTAATCAAGATAATTAACTTAATTAAATAATTAACTTAACATTAATCAAAATTAATTAAAATTAATTAATCATATCTACTAATCATTAATTGAAATAACTAAATAAATCTAATTATCTCAAATCAAACTCAATAAATATGATTAATTTATTTTAATTAAAATTAATTAACTTCATTAATCATAAATTAAATTAACTCTTTTAATTAATTAATAATTTTATATTAATAATTTTTTTTTACCTTTTAGCCTTTTTTTTAGTTTTTTTTTTAATATTGAATTGGGTCGGATTGACCCAACCCAGAAACATGACCCGTTATTCAAAAATAAGCAAATACAGATCAAACATGCATAAAGGCTTGCAACTAGGTTCATGTCTTTAAAAGAAAAGAAAGAACACGTTGTCATGAGAAAATCACATTCGCCAATCAGCAAAGAAAGAGCAAATTCATCAAAACACAATAACTTAGTTAATCTTGGATTCTCATTCATTTTCAGGTAAACATATACAAATGTAAACATCACAAAAGCATGTCACGGAAACAGGAGCACAAAAGAAACAAACACGGCGGAGCTTTCTGGGTAACAGGTCGGAGTCCGATCGGGCGGATCCCACCCACGGGATCAAGCCCAGATCATTCCCCTCACTGTCTCCCCAAAAGAACTCCTCTGTTGAAGAAAAATACCTAAAGGAAAGATAAATCCAGAAACGCAGCTTCCAAAAACAGTCACTCCTTTAAGAGCTTAATGATCTCCTCTCAAGCTGCTGCTTCCTTCTAGCCGAGATCCCTTTCTTTTCTTTGCCGTCAACACCAAAACTCAAAACCAAAGAACCCCCTGTTTCTAACCTAAAACCCTCTATTTATACCCAAACATAGAAACCCTAAAAACCCTTCTTCTCTCCTCATCCAAACCCTTCAATTTTCTTCTTTTTCCTTCCACCATTGATCGGGTGAGGCCAAAACTGGCCCTGCAGAGCAGCCAAGAAAGCTGGAGCGTGATGTCATCCTGCAGGTTTGTCTCATGCTCGGTTGGCTGCAGGGACAAAGGCGCAGCAGCAGGGTCAACGCAGCAGGGGGCGCATAGCAAGGAAATCTGGGCGTGATCCAGGCGCAGGCTCGGTGCAGCAGGGGCGCAGGGCTCGGTGCAGAGCAAGGCCAGGATCTGGTGCAGGGCAGGTGCAGGGGTAGAGGCGTAGGGGCGCAGGCTTAGGGGCGCAGGGCGCAGGGCTTGGTGCGAGGCAGGGGCGTTTCTGTTTTTGGTATTCTGTTCTGCCGGTCCTCTCCCCTTGTGGTTCGGCTGTGTTTCCCCATTTAAAAGAGAGAGTTGACTTTGAAGAAGATTCCAGAGACCGTCCCCTCCCTTTTTTTTTGTTTTTGAGTTTTGGGTTTGGTTTTGGGTTTTGTTTTGGGATTTTGGACTTGGGCAGTTGGTAAGCTTTGGGTTTTTGGGTTTAAGGCTTAAAATTGAAATGGGTTGGAATTGGGCCATTTAAGATGGGTTTAAGGTGTAAATGGGTTTTGGGTTGAACTTTAATGCATTTCACCCTTCAACTTTTCATTTCTTCAATTGGATCCCTCATCCTCAACTTCTTTCCAATCCTTCACAAAAATCCCCCATTTTACTCATGAACCTAACAAGGAAAACAAAGATAAAAACAGATTAGTTAAAATAAAAATAAGACTAGAAATAAAATTCTATTAAAAATTTGAGTTATGACAAAGCTCGGTAAACACGGAATTAGATCTATTAGGTTGCTAATAAAGATAATCTTTGCTTAGCCTTTTTTAATCTTTTTATATCTTCATTTAAATCTCTAATTGTTTGCTTCAATTTTTTGAGATTCTTAGATGGACGATATTCATCTTCAATATTGCTTCTTTTTTTAAATTTTTTTACTATTTTATCTTTATAATATTGGCATTGTTGCTCATAAACCTTCTTATCTACATCAATTTCTTAAATAAAATCAAGCATCTTAGATTACAATGATTTGATATAAAAATGGACTTTTCTATTCAAAATATAAGAGGTCAGGTACTATTTCCCCATCATTTCTCATCTCAAAAGATAATCTAATGTTAAAGAATAATATAGTTGTTTCTATGCCCACTTTACTTTCACATGATAAAATATATGAGTTAGAACTTTACTAAAAATCCTTTGGTCTAGCCTTCAGTCAAGCAAATGCTTTCTTCGTCCAACCCTCAATGCCAAACTCAAGCTACAATGGGTATTTGGACAAGGCAAGTGACTTTACTACTGCTTAAGTTTCTTTAGGATTCTTCTCATTTTATTTTATGATGGAAATAAAGAAGGATATAAACACAAGAATTTTTCTAAAACATGATTTTATTTCTAAGAGAAAGCAAAAGTTCCATTTCCTTTTGAAGGGTGTTTATAGATGCATGGTAAAAGGCTTTCAAGTAAGGTATTTGGGTATTCAAATGCCCAATAACTGTTACAACTTATAGGAGGCTTTTTATAGCACTCCTTAGAATCTTTTCTTCCATCATTGTTGACGTTTAAAGTTTCCATAACTGTCTAGTAATCTAGACTTACTTTTGGCTTTTACTAAAACAGATTACATGGAATCTTGTCGACACTTATTTTTTTCTTTAGTAACGTAAGAGCTTATGTCTTTATGCATTAGATTCTTCAGAGGATGATGAGATCCTTTTCACTACCTAAGGAAGTGGTTCCTTCATCACATGGGTCTGTTTTTCCTTTTGAAAATTCTTTTTTTTTTTTAAGCAAAAATCGCAATGATTATTATGGTTTAACAGCTTGCATAGTCTATTATGGATTGCTTTACTGGCTAGGACCAAATTTTCAAACATTTCCTTTCTTTTCTACTTTATTTTGAATACATTGATGCTTGTCATTAATCTTACGCTAGTGGATACTGTTGATATTTCATTAGAGAAGCCATAAGTCCATGCCTTCTTCATCTCTATCATTTTGTCAAAGGTCTGGAGTAAAACATGTTGACTCAATGCACTCCAAGAGGAGGGGTGAATTGGAGTTGGAGAATTTTCACCTCTTTGCAACCACCAAACAAAAATTAAAGAGAGGGTTGAGAAGAAGAGTTTGCATAATGAGTTTATAGAGGTTCAGTCCAACCACTTAGAGCCTAGTCCTCTACCTTGGCTTCACTCTCCAAGGATTTCCTCCACACTCTCCACTAACAAAAACAATGGTGGCTTAAAGGAGCCACTCAATCCTTTACAAGAACAAGGGTTTCTCTCAAATCTCACCCCTTTACACTTAAATCCCAAAGATCCTCTCTACAGATCACTCTTGAAGGAATCAACACATCCCCAATAGCACTCACTAATAGCACAAGAAGAGGATTACAAACAAAGATCTCT